TTCCGGATTCGACTAGGTCTGATGCTACTGCTCCCATTGCCGATGAAGTTCCTGTTCCCGCCAACGCTTCTGCGCAACAAGTTCCTCATACCCCAAATCTGTTCTCTCCGTTTTCTCATGATTCGTCTCTCGCGTTTACTCTCCCGTATGCTCAGGTTTCTCAATTCCTGAAAGCGGTGCAGGAGATTCCCGACTCCTCGGCCGACGAGGATGTTGGTGAACAAAAGAAATGGATTATGCGGGCGGCCCGTGGACCCGCCACTGGTCCCAGGACAGTTAAACTCTGGCTTACAGATGCATGGAGTTCTTTCGTCGATCTGATCAAGGTACTACCCCTTGGCCTTCAATACTCGTGTTGTTGCTTACACCCATCAGCATGCCGAAACGATTGATATTGTCATTATGACCCTAGGCTACTTATCAATGCATCTAAGCTTCGTATCCCTCTTCTTCTCCATGAGGCGCTTGGGCTCGAAGTTCTGGCTTGCGGGCACGGTTCTTCTGACTGGGGCTTTCGCATTCCTATTTGGCCTCCTTGTTACGACTAAACTCGGTGTTCCCATCAACGTGCTCCTGCTGTCCGAAGGACTCCCGTTCCTAGTCGTCACTATTGGGTTCGAAAAGCCGATTATCCTTACTCGGGCTGTGCTCAATGCTTCAGCTGACAACAAGCGCCGAGGTGGTACTGCTCCTTCCAGCCAAGCGAATCCGACAACTGCGAAGTCTATTCAAGACTCGATCCAGACTGCCATCAGGGAACAAGGTTTTGAGATCGTCCGGGACTACTGTATTGAGATTGCTATCCTCGTTGCCGGCGCTGCTTCGGGGGTGCAAGGCGGCTTGAAACAGTTCTGTTTCCTGGCTGCTTGGATTTTGTTCTTCGACTGCCTTCTGCTCTTTACCTTCTACACGACTATTCTTTGCATCAAGCTTGAAATCACTCGTATTAAGCGTCATATTGCGCTCCGTAAAGCTTTGGAAGAGGATGGAATTACGCACCGTGTCGCCGAAAACGTGGCCTCAAGCAATGATTGGCCTCAGGCTGGCTCGGAAAACAGCGACACTAGCATCTTCGGAAGGAAAATCAAGTCAAGCAATGTCCGCCGCTTCAAGATTCTCATGGTTGGAGGTTTTGTCTTGATTAATGTGGTGAACTTGTCTGCCATTCCTTTTCGGAATTCCACACTGGGCCCTGTTCCGTTGCTCTCCCGGGTATCTAACGTGCTTGCGCCCACACCGATTGACCCTTTCAAGGTTGCTGAAAACGGTCTTGATTCAATCTACGTGACTGCGAAGAGCCAGATGACAGAAACAGTTGTAACTGTCATTCCACCCATCAAGTACAAGCTCGAGTACCCCTCAGTCCATTATGCTGCGCCAGGAGATAGTCAGTCCTTTGACATCGAATACACTGATCAATTCTTGGACGCTGTTGGTGGACGCGTGATTGAAAGTTTGCTGAAGAGCGTTGAGGACCCAGTCATCAGCAAATGGATTATCGCTGCGCTCACCCTGAGCATCGTCTTGAATGGTTACCTGTTCAACGCGGCACGTTGGAGTATCAAGGAACCCGAGGCTGCCCCTGCACCCAAGGTTGTCGAACCGAAGGTTTACCCCAAGGTGGATCTGAATGCAGACGGCTCGAAAAGAAGTGCAGAGGAATGTGAAGTATTCCTCAAGGAAAAGCGGGCACCCTATCTGTCGGACGAGGATCTGATTGAGCTTTGCTTGCGAGGCAAGATTCCAGGGTATGCTCTGGAGAAGACCATGGAAAGTGAGGACCTGATGAGCCGAGTTGATGCCTTCACGAGGGCAGTCAAGATCAGAAGGGCTGTGGTTTCTAGGACCAAGGCCACGTCCGCCGTCACAAGCTCTTTGGAGGCCTCGAAGCTCCCTTACAAGGACTACAACTATACGTTGGTTCACGGTGCATGCTGTGAGAATGTTATTGGATATTTGCCTCTGCCCCTTGGGGTTGCTGGACCTCTTACTATCGATGGCCAAAGCTACTTTATTCCCATGGCTACCACTGAGGGTGTCTTGGTAGCAAGTGCCAGCCGTGGCGCCAAGGCTATCAATGCGGGTGGTGGCGCAGTGACTGTTCTCACCGGTGATGGTATGACTCGTGGTCCCTGTGTTGGTTTCCCTACCCTGGCACGCGCCGCCGCTGCAAAGGTTTGGATTGACTCCGAGGAGGGTCAGAGTATCATGAAGGCTGCGTTCAACTCTACCAGCCGCTTTGCTCGTCTCCAGACTATGAAGACCGCTCTTGCTGGTACATACCTCTATATCCGCTTCAAGACCACGACCGGCGATGCTATGGGTATGAACATGATCTCTAAGGGCGTTGAGAAGGCGCTTCATGTGATGTCTACCGAATGTGGATTTGATGATATGGCCACCATCACTATTTCTGGTAATTTCTGTACAGACAAGAAGTCTGCTGCTCTTAACTGGATCGATGGCCGTGGCAAGTCAGTTGTAGCAGAGGCCATCATTCCTGGTGATGTTGTCAAGAGTGTGCTCAAGAGTAACGTTGACGCGCTGGTCGAATTGAACACTAGCAAAAACCTGATCGGAAGTGCAATGGCTGGAAGCTTGGGTGGCTTCAACGCACACGCATCGAACATTGTCACTGCCATTTTCTTGGCAACGGGCCAGGACCCTGCGCAGAATGTGGAAAGCAGTAGCTGCATCACTACTATGAGAAAGTAAGTTACAGGCTGCCAATGTTCGCGATTAAGACTAGTATACTAACTGCCACGCTCTCAGTCTCAATGGTAACCTTCAGATTGCCGTGTCAATGCCCTCAATCGAGGTCGGGACCATTGGTGGAGGTACGATTCTTGAAGGACAGTCCGCTATGCTTGATCTACTCGGTGTGCGCGGTTCCCACCCCACCAATCCTGGTGACAACGCCCGTCAACTCGCACGGATTGTTGCCGCCGCTACGCTTGCAGGCGAACTGAGCCTGTGCTCTGCACTTGCTGCCGGCCATCTTGTCCGTGCCCACATGGCACACAACCGTAGTAACGCTCCTACACGTTCATCAACTCCCGTCTCGGCGGCTGTTGGTGCTGCTCGGGGATTGACTATGACGAGTTCGAAATGAATGAGGGTCTAGGTGGCCATGTGCTCCTTTCGCTGCCCTATGACACACTACTGCCAATACCGCTGCTATGTAGCAGACGCTCTTCCTGGCTCTCCCCCCGCATTCCTTGTATATTCAATGATACCCTATGGTTCTTGGTTAAAGGCCCTTGTGTTTAGGGTCACGCATCTTTTGACTCCCTGGAGGCCATTGTATGCTTTTCGATTTTTAACGTTAATCACCATGTGACGACCAATAAGTGGAGTATGGGATTATGCTCGTCGCCTTTCTCGGCGCGAAGGGGAAATGAACATGATAGAAGAAAACGACTTCAATGCAATAATAAGAAAGAAAGAAAGGGAAAAAAAAAAGATTAAGCAAAGGAGGAATTAGCCGACCAGGCATGTTAATTGGAAAGGCTAAGAAATGATACTGCTCGGATGTATGTATATTGAAATAGAAAGAACATTGACCTCAAGGAATACAACTGTTAATAATAGGAGCTCTCTTGATGCCTACTAGGGCCCGTAAATACTTGCTCCGAATTGTACTCCGTACATACCCCTAAGCTGTGCTGTATTGTATCGTTTACTAGGTCGTATAGGGAGTACTAGTATGGGGCATATTTCTACTAGTTGGGCGGAACTGAGTTTGGAGCCACGGTCTGGACTCCCGCCTCAGGCTCCAACTTTTTAACAACTGACCTCCTGAGTACAGCGTCCGAATTCCAATTGTATCCAGAGTAGGAAACCATACTGGATTTAAAGTGAAGGAATGAGATCGGCGATATCAAGTAATGTTGGCAATCGGAGAATTTCTTTGTTATTTCGGAATCATCAGATTCTATGGAGTACGGCGGTGAATTCATTCGGGAAAAGTGATGCGTACAGGAGCACCGCCACAGCGGCTCTAATTGATCTGTTCCTGCGGGTGGTGGAACTAAACTACGCCCGAGCTGATGTACGGATGTATGTACATACATACCTGTACTGCACCGTACTGTACGTACTGATGTGGTTGATAATACAGCCTTATGTAAGGCTTATCTTGAAGGCAGGGTTGCGTTTGGAGCAGGGGTCAATACTTCGCACATATGTAAAAGAATCCTTATCTAGGTAGTTCTGAGGACCGCAGTACATTTGCATGCTTAAGATCCATCCCTTCTTTTGCTTTCTCTTTTGTGGACATAGTCATCATCCTGCGACAACAATGGATATCAATACGTACATACCTAAGACACCAAGCACAATACAGTACGACGGCATACACACCGTGTCGCATACCTGAACCTCATGGTTGGACCGTACTTACTGTAAATTACTATCATTCCCTTTTCAATGTTGGTCTGGGTCTGCCTGTCTGTCTCTCACGCTCGTTGTCTCGTTCTCTCCCTTCTTCCGCCCGTCCCCAGTCCCCATCGGTCCTCCACTCCTTTGGACTTCGGGACGTTGGACTTTGCTCCTGTGGCTGTTGACTTGGCTGCATTCGTGCCCTTAACTTTTGTCCTTTTCTTTTCTTTTCTTTTCTTTTTTTTTTTAATTTTATTTTATTTGATATATTCTTTTGTTCTATCCGACTGTGTGCGTCTGTGGGATTCTGTTATAAGTCTGCTATTCTGCCATTAATTCCGTCTGTCTACGCACTGTCCTTATCTTTATTGTTGCATTGTCTATTGGTTCATTCGCTGTTATTCTCCGGACAGTCGTAGAGTCCTCCCCGATATCGTCAGCCACAAATTAAAATTATCCTTTTTTCGCCTTTCGACTCTGCCTCTCGCCCTCCTGTGATCGCAATCCCTCGAGATCTCGAATGTATATTTGGAGGACCACTATACTGAGGAGGTGAAGGGTTGCCCCGAGCGACGCGACTGCCGTCATTGTGACCCCCAATGAATGGTCATTCAGGGACTATGTCGCCTGTCTCAGTGGACGGTAGTGACTGGTCAGGGATCAATCAATACCAGAAGTCGGAAGGGCCATTCTCGCCAACTTTGTCGAGTCGCGGTAATCTAGCCACACCTCCGACCTCAGGTGCTGCTAATGGACCAAATGGCGCTGGGTTACCAAACGGAACCTTGTCAGGACGGATGAGCGACTCGGGAAACCCGCCGTCGCCAACCTCTGTGGCGGCGCGGTCGAGTGATGGTACATTGTCGGATCAACGTAGTAAGCGATACCGCCAGATGGAAGAGGTCCTAGGAAAACATTATGTTGTCTTGAGGAGGTTTCTTAGTGCGCCTTATCGAGAGGACCGGAATGGCAGGCCAAGCAAAGCTAGGGACAAGTTACTTAGACTATCGGCGACCCAGTTCCATGAATTGAGCACTGACGTGTACGACGAACTGCTTCGACGGCAACAAGCTATGCCTTCTCCCGGACGTCCTCCTCGGCCCGATGTCCCTCCCTTTTTACCGCCCCGACAAGATTTCCACGAAAAGCGCAACCAGGCCCGCCAGAAACTAGCGTCGCTCCAGCATGTCCGTTTTCGAGATCTGGCCACAGATGTCTACACTGAGTTGGAGCGACGATTCCCCCAATTTCCGGAGAAAGAATCCCGCAGAGCGAGCCCAGCTCCTAGTTTTCGTGGACATCCATCGAACGGTTATCCTTCGCCGAATGGATATGGTCCCGGGGGATATCCGCCACCTCGCTCGCAGTCTAGGGGCCCGCCGCGGAGGGGTTACCCATCAGGAGGTCCTCCCGGTAGCCCTATGAGCGGCGTGTTTCCTCCCCGGCAAGGATCTCTAGGCGGGCCACCATCTATCAATGGCGACCACGGCCCCATGGCCAAGTCGTTCCAGAGCAACACGATTGTGCCCAATAAAAGTACTATGGTGGAGGACGACGACGACTTGGCTGGTATAGACGATGATTATGATGCACGACGTGATGCTTTCGCCTTGGATGCTGTTCTGCAAAGCAGGAGAGGAACTGCGACGACCCTGGGAGAGGGTGAACGAAAGCTGTTGGCAGACACCCAGTCCCAGGTGTCGGTGCTCCAAGAGAAGGTGAACAAGCTCGAGGAGTTATTAAAATCAAAGGATGAGGAGCTTTCTAAGCATCATGGAGATCAGACAAGGGTGGATGAGCTGGAGGGTCTACTAAAGGCCAGAGATGAGGAGCTGTCCAGATACCAGGAAGGGCATGAGAAAGCTCAAGTTGGTGAGTCTGAACGTCAGCAATGGGAGGATCTTAAATTGGATCTGGAAAGCAAGATCTCCAAGGCGGAGGATCTTAATAGTTCATTGCAGACGGAGCTGGATAAAGTTCGGACGGAGCACGATGCTATGGAAAGAGAGCTGCGAAGCCAAGTTGATGGCGCATCCCGAGAGGGTGCTGGGGATGCTGAACTGCAATCTCGATTTGCTGACCTTGAAGTTAAGCATAAAGGCTTACAGGCCGAACTTCAGGAACAACAGCAAGTGACGGAGGAAGTGAGGCGAGAAGCAGCTGGCTTCCTCATGGAAATGAAGGCTTTATCAGAACAGAGCCACTCGAGATGGGAACACGAAGAGCGGCTATCCAGTGAGGTTCACAGACTAGAAGAGGAGGTGAAGCAGTGGAAAAGCCGGTATGCCAAGGCGAAGACCCAGCTACGACACCTGCGAGCATCCTCAACGGGCATAGAACTTCGTTCAGATGTCAACGTGATCGCACACGATAACGCATTTCTGCAAGAAAACGGTCTTGTTAAGGATGTTCATGTGACAAAATTCCAGATTTCCATCGATGAACTGCTTCGAATCGCACGATTCGACGATTACAATCTAGTGATGCAGCAAATCAAAGCAGTTGTCATCGCCGTCCGTCATGTCCTTCGTGACGTCGAAGTGGCTTCCGCTCGCGAAGATGGCTTGTCAGCTTCCCGCACAAAGGCTACTCGGAAAGTCTCTGCAACAGCGAATAATCTGATAACCGCATCGAAGAACTTTGCTAGCTCATGCGGTCTCTCGCCAGTCTCTCTTCTGGATGCCGCTGCATCGCATCTATCAACTGCTGTTGTTGATCTTATCCGTCTTGTCAAGATTCAACCTTCACCAGCAGGCGATCTTAACGAGGACGATGAGGAACAGCTGGCTCACATGAAATCCCCCGACTACTTTAGTGTTGCGCCGAGCCAGGGCAGGTTCAGTAACAATGGGTCTGTCTACAGCGCTATGAGTCCTCCATCTAATCACTCCCGTAACCCTACGGAGTCTCATGCTGCCAATGGAATGACAGCCGCGACAACGACCAGCTATCCCGGACCGTCCGGAGATCACGAGCTTCAGGAGCTCAAGGTCAGTACACCTCCAGTTATCTTACTCGCAGTGTAATGCCTAATATTGCTTGCAGCTTTACGTCGAAGACCAGACAGAAGGACTGGTTCAATCAATTCAAGCTCTTGTTGCCAGTATCCGCGCCGAGGATGGCCTGACTACTATACGCACCCACGTTTCTGCTATCTCCTCCATTGTAACCAATGTCTCCTCATCCACGGAGCATTTCATCCATAAACCGGAAGCTAGCTCGGCGCTTCGACAGCGCGCTGGGCCAATCATCGAGAAACTAGACCAGCACAAGGCCCGTTTGACGGGGACAGCAACCGAGGGCGAGGAAGCTACCAGCGCCGAACAGGTTCGGGACGCTACAAACAAACTCCCTCCTATAGCCTTTGAGATCGCGAGGGAGACAAAGGAGCTGGTCCAACGACTAGATCCGGTGGACCAAGAGGAGTCCGAGGATGACTTCCGCTAGTCGTGCACCCTTTTACCTTGGTTTTTTATGATGCTTTAGCACTTCCTTCCTGTTCAGCTTTCTTCTTCCTCTTATAGTTCTCCTTGTTCCTTTGTCTTTTCCTTTTCAACCTTCTATCTATTTCCTCGCTTCATCCGCAGCAGCCTAATCAAACTGCGCACACTATCTTGAATTGACAGGACCGTCACAGCTGTTGATTTTGCGGTTTCTTTCTTGCAGTTATCATGCATGACCACGAGCAACCATGTGAAATGAGTGTTGAACTGGGTGGTATTTATGACCTTCTTCTTTTCTTTTCCTCTTAATGCTACATGGAATTTTGTACTTTATGTTTATTTTATTTTAGTTTCACCTTCGTTCTACCCTTATGTGTGCATTATGTACCATTAGCTCACTAAGGTTCTGGGCCATTATCACTCTATTAGCGCTTTGGCTTCCTCAACGTCTTCTGATTTTCGCTATTCTTATCCTTTACTCCCTCCTGTTTTCTCCTTTTATTCATTTTTTCCAGATAGCATAAGTGCTGTCTGAGTGGTTTCGATTATAGCAATATCATAGCAAGCAATTTTGTTCCGCTTTCATTCTTTTGTGGAATCTACCGTGGTAACAGCCCACTAGGTGGGAATAGATATCAGTCAAGTGTGTGGCACTGAGAAGTTATGTTCGAGTGACATGCAGTGACCCAATAGTGTCCGTTGTACTGGACGGAGTAGCGGTATGTACTCCGAAATACTCCGGAGTGTCGGTCTATTCACGTGATCTCAACGAACCAGTAGCTGTCCCCATCTAGCTTAGCTCTCTGTCGTCTCCCGGACCAAAGATTTTTCCATTGGTCTTGGAAGTTCTCGAAGCCTGCATCTGGGGATTATATAATCCAGAGCTTCCTGGAGCTTTCTTTGCCTGGACATTTTTCCTTTGACCACTCTGGTTCCATTGCTTTCCACGCAACCACGCATCATCCTGCAACTCGTCCGGGTTAATTTATCGCAATTTGCCTTCTATATATCCAAACTGTAAGTAAAAAAGATTGTCTAAAGTGCCGGTGAGATAAATTGGCGACGGCGTTGGGTCTGGCTGCTTCCATCCAATGCTGTTCCTTTCCAATTCCTTAGTCCTAAAGTCCACCCCCGGGCTAAGGGAGAGGCCAACCAACCAGATGGCGGCCTGAGGCCACCACACCGGCCTCAATTGCATATTTGGCACGTGTCGGCTAACGGAGGGTTTGGTTTCTGGGCCCCGCAGAATTTCCTTGTCCGTGTTGTCCCGCTTGTGCCCCTCCAGCAACAATGTTCTCCCGAAGCCTGAGGTCAACAACAACCCCACTTTGCTCCTCGTCCTTCGCTTCTCGTCCTCTCTTCAATTGCAATCAATCTTCTTTTCTCTCTCTTCGTCAGTTTCATCAAACAACCGCAACCATGTCTGGAAACACCAAGGCCTTCTTTGAAGTTGAGTACGCCCCTGTGGGCACCAGCACCAGTAAGTCTCTCCGCTCTCCTTCCTCTGCTGTGGTGTCTTGTGGGAGACTCAAAATTACCCCTCTCCCATCTGGCATCGTCAGCATTTAGGATATCTCAAACTCAGAAGAATGCGTTCTTCCACCCTCAATTCCTCTCTCCCATTCCCTCTCATAATCACCGCATACTGACATTGTCCATCACTGTCCATAGCCAAGACTGGTCGCATCAACTTCAACCTCTACGAGAAGGATGTCCCCAAGACCGCTCGAAACTTCCGTGAGCTTTGCAGTGCTGCGCAGGGTCAGGGTTACAAGGGCTCTACCTTCCACCGTGTCATCCCCAAATTCATGCTCCAGGGTGGTGACTTCACCCGTCACAACGTAAGTATACGCTCTTTTTGCGGCCTCGTCTGCCCCAGTTTGGCATGGATGCTAACCACGGTTAACACAGGGCACTGGTGGTCGTTCCATCTACGGTGAAAAGTTCGCCGATGAGAACTTCATTTACAAGCACAACAAGCCTGGTCTTCTTTCCATGGCCAACGCCGGCCCCAACACGTACGTCATATTTAACTCGTATCCACTAGCTTTGAGATAGTCACTAAACCCCATATAGCAACGGCTCCCAGTTCTTCATCACCACTGTTGAAACCTCCTGGCTCGATGGCAAGCACGTCGTCTTCGGCGAGGTTGCCGATCAGGAATCCATGAACGTTGTCAAGGAGATTGAAGCCCTTGGCAGCAGCTCTGGTGCTATCCGCTCTAATGTCAAGCCCACCATCGTTAGCTGTGGTGAGCAGTAAATGCGTCAAGCGGAGGACAATAAGAAAGCCAATTTGTGGAAGGAAAAATGCTGACCTCGAATGCCTGACCCGACGGAATGGATTGAAAACGGCCTGTGGCTTTTTGTCCCTTCCCTTGAGCGAGCTTCGAGGCAACGGTGGCCTCCTGTTTTCCTTGCGTGGTGTAATCTAGAGTGTCTATTGACATATTGCCGAACTCCATCACCTCCATTTCGTATTCTTTCCCCTCCACTCAAACTTACGGAGCAACCAGTAGTGAGTATTACTAGCACACAAGTATATAACAAAATCTGGTTGCCTGGACATAGAGCCCAAGTGAGTAGAAGCGAAAGGGAACCCCGCTCGTCATGGTGGGGTCATGACTTAACCTGCCCCTCGTAATCGTATTTATCCCTTGTCCGCTGCAGCCCTAAAGCCTGAATACTACTATTCAACCTTTCTAGATCTTGTCATGTAACCAGGACGTCTCGAATTCTTCCTAGGCTGTCATGAACACTTATCCAGATCGAATCATTTATCCAACTTGGATGCCGCATAGTGTACTACCACATACTAATCCAAAGGAAGCGAAAGACAATTCCAACCAGTAAGGCACTGAGACAGAACGGCTCACTCTACTACATGCATTGAGGCTCTGTATATACAGCCCGCGGCTACATGGATCCAGCCCACCCAAGCTATATCAACTCAACATAGGGATCTTATGAAGAGTGGTAGAACCCAATCGTGCCATTGGCATGAAGACATACTTGATAGACATGTCAAAGGAAGATAAAATCCGTTATTGGTATCGAGATACATTGAATATGTTGAGCTTGTAGGTAAATGGGTATCAAAAGCAGAACGACATTCTAAGTCAGCTTTTTCTTCGCACCACACTAGATCATCCACAGCATTTTGTCACGGCAAGGGCATCATTCCTGTAGATATCGTCAGCATACATTCCACAAATCATATATAAAGAGGATATGAAACGGGGCAAAGGACACAAAGCAAAGAAAGGAAAGGAAAGGAAAGGAAAAGGACAGCATACTCCTTCCCCAACTGCAACGGCTCCCAAGTAAACAAAAACGATCCCAAGAACGCTCCAATAAAGATGCAAATAATAATGTACCCGTTGAAGTACATCGCTAATAGCATGATGAAATACGCCACGGCAAACTGCAACATGTGCATGAGGGCGCGAATCAGCTGTTCGACGAGGGTAGGTCGGACGGGGACCTCAGCGGCTGGACAATTGGGTGCCTTTACGGCGGAAGGCTGCGCGGATGAAGAGGCTTTTGTGGTCGTGGCGGCATCTTCTGCGTCTGAGGCTGCGGCTGGGGTTGATGGCTGAGATTGGACAGTGAGGTACTGGGCTCTGAGACGGGCGCGCCGGAGAATGAAGGCGTCGTATTCGCGGCCGACGCGACGGAGGAACTCAAGACAGATCACTAGGAGAATGACGCCTATGCAGGAGCCGGCGAACATGCCGTTGGAGGTGATGTGCCATTGTTTGGAGAGGAAGCCTTGTTGGTTTGGGTTAGTGGGTGGCTTTGTTTTTTTTTTTTTTCTTTCTTGGGTTGGATGGTTTTGTTTGGTGGCTAGGTATTTCTTTCTTTTCTTGGAGGAGTCCTTACAGGCGTCTTTGACGGTCCAGTTCCATAACATCTGGGTTTCTTTGTTAGCTTTTGGGTGATGGGTAGGCCGGTTGAGTGAAGGTTTACGTACTGAGATCTGGCAGCTGTTTGAGCCACCGTGCATGCCTCCCATGTCCATTGAGTGTGAAGCGGTACTCGAGCTCATGGCTCCTGTGGATGTTGCTGTGGCCATGGTCATGTCCATCATCATGTCCCCGTGGGCTACCATGTTGGTTTATACAATTCCAGGACGTAGGGTTTGAGAACGAAAAGATTCCGGGGCCGAAGAAATCAGTCACTTCGCGGGCCGTATTTAATCGCCAGTCACAGCAGTGCTGAACAAAGAAACTGTGCAGGATTTGAGGATTTGGCATACGAAGAGAGAACAAAAGAGAGACGAGAAGAGAAAGGAAAGGAATCCTTTATCAGACGGCAGGGCAGTGTCATTTGGGAAAGGTATCAACACTGGAGCCATAGGGCAGGGTTTTCTTTCAATTGGGATCCGCCCTGTTACAGGACGCCTTTCCTGCTCGAATGGCCTCATGGATGTCTTGGGCAGCTGAGAAAATGGGCCAACGCTGCAGGGACTTTCGTACGGGGAAACATCGCATGGTATACTGTCCCTTGCGGTGGCCAATCAGAAAGCCATGTTGCGCGCGGAATTGAGCAGATTTTCTGCTGCTAAGCGCTTTAGCGGCTGGCCGTCATCCTTCTTCTTACTCATCGGGGCATATCGAGATTAAACGGTCGAAACAAAAAAGGAGTTTCTAGGGTTTGGGATTTGTTTTTGGGTTTTTGGTGAACAAGAAAATTGAGCCAAAGAAGAGAAGTCCTATGTGGAAACCAACCAAACACGCCCCCAACACCGCGAAAGTGCACCATTTGGGTATAAATAGACATCATGCTTTTGGATAGACACAGAAAGATTCACATGAAAAGACATCACGATCACCTACACATGGCTACCGTGCCTGGTTGGACCCTTTGATGACTCCCTCCAAGATCTCTCGTATCTGATTACAGCCATCAATCCCAACAGCAAGCATCGTCTCGACATAGGTGCAATGTACTTTCGAGTCCATGTTCAACATGGACACTTTCATATCTTCCTCGTCGTCATCCATCGCATTCTCACCCACCGGCACAGAGGTTGTAGTGCCCACGGTGAGGAATGGGAGCTCCTGTTCCTCCGGCAAAGACAGATCCAGAAGCGGATCCAGTTCGTCGTTTCGAGGATCACGGGGGGTAGAGGCACTTCCACTCATCCCGGCGGTGCAGCCACAGAGTAAGCCTGGCATAGGGATACCTGCATCTACAAGTGCTAGGGTGCAAGCATTGATAGCAGCGGCAAGCAGAGAGCCATCGGCGGATAGTACCGAAACGTGGATGCTGATAGTACTGTGCGGATAAAGGTAAGTGTGAAGATGAGACTGGAACGCAGCCCGTAGAGTAGTGGCAATGCGCGAAGATTGCCTAGTAAAGACAGGTTAGCAGACTTTATGAGGAAGAGTATCAATCGCGTTGGTCGGCATACTTGTCGCTTCCTCCCGCCCTTCTTTTGCGATCAACTCCCGCGAATCCAGCGACGTTGACATCGACTTCTACCACTGCTCCCGAAGAACCTGCTGCACCACCGGTTGCATCTCCACGGCGCCCTTCCGCAGGACCGTGAACTGAGCACATAATAGTTGTATTTCCCATGGCCAGATAAGACGACCCCGAACTGGCCGGGTTTGTGGAGATCTGCGCTTGGAGAAGACGAAGCTCGTTCCACCGGCGGCCATCAAGGCGCAGTTTGGTAAGGGGGTACGTGGTCGATGTATCGAGAGGCATCTTGAGGGGCGAGCCGTCTACTTTTTCGTCGGTTCAAGGCTTTCTAACAACCGTATATGTCTGGAATTCGGTAATAATCTAGTAACTTGTTCTTCGGAGCGCGGGCGAAGAAGCGACGGTGTAGTCACAAGATAGTTAACAAATTGGGATTAGAAAATATATACCCGAGAAGCCCAAAAGATACGTCCGTGGTTTTCCCCGAGTGGAATGCACAATGGTTGGTTTTGCAGTAAACGAGACGATAACGACGGCGGGGAATTCGATCGGCGACAAAATCAATTAAATTTGAAAGAATTGAGCTCCTTTCCCGATCTGGTAATATAGATCCTCCGCCTTCGTTGCCGCCCGCGCGCGTCCCCGACATTCGTCCTCTACACCACCGAGTGAGCCAGTGGTCTGAGTTTGTCGAGAATAACATGGGATCTGGCTGGGAGTTAGAAGATCCAGATGCGACAACCGCCAGCTCCGATGATGATGATCTGGACGCCTCAAGGCGAGCGAGGCCATCCAAGGCTGCCTCCAGTCGTACGTTTCTCCGCATACTACTATAATGCTAAAGCTATGTTGAAGCTGATATCCTCCAATTTCCAGGTACAACGTCCAATTCAGAAGTGACGCCCCGTCCTACTCCTAGATCTGAAACCCCAGTCGAAGAACAGTCCTCGCCTCTCAACAACCCTATTTCCATAGTAGACTTGGAAGCGCATACCGACAGCGATGATACGACTTTCAACGATGGCGAGGCTGCCTATCAGGCGTTCAAAAACCGAAAGTCCCTCAAGCGAAAGCGTACCTCCATGAGTGCTCGCAAGACCAAAACGCCCAAGATGGCCAGCCCCGAGTCGTTTGTAGGAAGGCGTCCCAGGCAAGGTGGGAGACCCACGCCAAGGCGGCCCTGGAGAGAGTATGGTGATGAAGTGCCTTCCGAAGATGAGCTGATGGAGTACACGCTCCCGGACTATTTGCAGAAGCGACGACAGCAGTTCGACCGTAGAGCCGAAAACCTCAAGGAGTCAGGGCTGAAGTTACCCCCGGGCTACGAGGATATTGAGTTCTCCGATGATGAGCGCTTGGAATTTCTACAAGAGAAACCGGTCTTTACGAATATAAAACCGTGCAATGCGTACAAAGACGTCACTCTCCCTTACTCTCTAGGGTTAGTCCCTGCTCCCGTCGCGCAGTGGCTAAGGCAGTACCAGGTGGATGGAGCCGCTTTCTTACACGAACTCTTTGTCTACCAGAAAGGTGGCATCCTTGGTGACGATATGGGTCTGGGGAAAACAGTGCAAGTGATTGCATTCCTTACCGCGGCGTATGGCAAGACTGGCGATGAGAGAGACGCCAAGAGGATGAGGAAGATGAGGAGAAGTGGGAAAGACCAATGGTACCCACGAACGTTGATAGTATGCCCAGGTACTTTGATCAAGAACTGGATGTCGGAACTCACCCGTTGGGGCTGGTGGCATGTCGATACCTACCATGGAGACAACAAGGAGCTTGCTCTTCAAGCAGCGAGGTCTGGACGAGTTGAGATTCTCATCACCACTTACGGTACCTACCTTCAAAATAAGGATGCCGTGAACATGGTAGACTGGGATTGCGTGATAGCGGACGAATGCCACATCATCAAGGAACGAGCTTCCGAGACTACCAAAGCCATGAACTCAGTCAACGCACTCTGCCGCATTGGACTAACAGGTACAGCCATCCAAAACAAATACGAAGAACTCTGGACGCTACTGAACTGGACGAACCCCGGGAAATTGGGCCCAGTTACAACCTGGAAAAAGACCATCTCCGACCCTTTGAAGATAGGGCAGTCGCATGATGCTACACTACACCAACTGAGTAAAGCTCGCAGGACTGCCAAGAAGTTGGTCGAGAACCTCCTTCCTCAGTTCTTTCTCCGACGAATGAAAAGTCTAATAGCAGATCAGCTTCCTAAGAAGATTGATCGAGTTGTCTTCTGTCCGTTAACAGAAACGCAGGCAGACGCCTACGAGAACCTATTGGACAGTGACATTATCCGGTACATCAAGGAATCTTCTGAGTTGTGTTCCTGCGGTTCAAGAAAGAAGGCCGGCTGGTGCTGTCAGCAGTATCTACGATCTGGACTCCGATGGCAAAGCTATGTGTTTCCCGCGATGAATGTTATACAAAAACTTAGCAATCACCTTGCGATTCTGATACCGCAGGGAGTGGATTCCAAGGAGAAGCAGGACAAGGATAGGGACTGGCTAGAAATTGCTTCTCCAGATAAGTGGGAGCAGCTCTATCGAACAAGAGACTCCATCGTCAACTACGCCAACCCTGAGTTTTGCGGTAAATGGAAGGTTCTCCGCCGACTCCTCAAGTGGTGGCATTCCAACGGAGACAAGGTATTAGTCTTCTCTCACAGCGTCCGACTGCTGAGGATGTTGCAGATGCTGTTTCACCATACAAGTTACAATGTCAGTTATCTGGACGGTTCGATGAGTTATGAGGAGCGTGCAACAGCCGTTGACGAGTTCAACTCCGACTCCCGGCAATTCGTCTTCTTGATCTCCACCCGTGCCGGTGGTGTGGGTTTAAACATCACATCCGCAAACAAAGTGGTCGTCGTCGACCCCAATTGGAACCCTTCATACGACCTCCAAGCGCAGGACAGAGCATACCGAATCGGCCAGGTCCGCGATGTTGAGGTATTCCGACTAATCTCCGCTGGCACTATCGAAGAAATTGTCTACGCACGTCAGATTTACAAGCAGCAACAAGCAAATATCGGCTACAACGCAAGTTCCGAACGGCGCTACTTCAAGGGTGTCCAAGAAAAGAAAGACCAGAAGGGTGAAATCTTCGGACTAAACAATCTCTTCGAGTACCAAAACAACAATATTGTCCTCCGCGAAATTGTCAATAAAACCAACGTCGCCGAAAGCCGAGCCGGGGTCCAGGTAATGGACATTGATGTGGATGAATCCCAACCCAACGAAGACTCCAAAACCACTGATGACGAGGTCATGAGCCAACTCGCCGCCATGATCCGTGGTGAGTCTGAAGACGCTAAAGGCGCCCAACAATCCCCCATACCCAAGCGCCACGATCCTATCCAGGCCATCCTCGCCGGTGCCGGTGTGGAATATACCCACCTCAACAACGAGGTCATTGGCTCCTCGAAGATCGAAGAACGTCTCAGTAGACGCGCAGAACTAGCCAGCGAAGGCTCCAGTAATGATGTCCAGGTCTTTGGAGATTCTCAAGACGGGTCAAATGCGGCGCCTACCCCTCATCTTCTGAAAGATGGTCGGCCGATCCGCTTCAAGTATCATCCTCCTCGCGATGTGATGAAGAGGCAGTTCTGTAGCATGGCGAAGCGGTTCGGGTTTCCTAATGCTACTGAGTTTGCTCTTGTTGTGGAAAGCATGACGCAGGCGCAGAGACGGGCGTGTCTGGAACGTTGGTATAGGGAACGGAGACAGGTTTTGTTGGGGAAAGAATGACGCTCTTTATGTAGGTTTTCTTGACTTTTCTTTGGGCGTTGTTATTGGTTTGTATATTTCTGAGATACCCTTAAGCATTTCTTGTTGATATCGTATATTGGATTGGGATTTTGGTTTTACATTTGAGTGTTGGATGGGATCGGCAGTATCCCCGTAGATTACGAAAAAAAAAAAAAAAAAAAAAAAAAAAAATCCAAATCAGCTATCGCTATCATTGCTTAAGAGGATAGGCTCAGGAGGCATAGATCGCACTTGGGCATACAAGGACAGTAATTCATAATCATTCATGTAGGAAAAGCGATTACATTGTCATCATAGTAGTATATCATTACCATCCCGGTGTAGAATATCATTCATTAAATTTTACATCTATACAATCACCAATATCGACAAGTGACGAACTTATTATCAATAGAATAGAGACTACTGATATCAGCGCAAGAATTTCTCTACTGCACCACCAATGTTCTTCAAGTCAAGCAGGAACGTATCGTGTCCGAACATCGACACGTCCTCGCCAAGTTCAATGTGCTGGACCTTCTCGTTTCCACCAGCCCAAAGTGTCTCTGCAATCTCACGCTGCTGCCAAGCCGGGAAGAGAATATCGCTGGCGACACCCATGACCAGAACAGGATGGTTCTTCAAAGGTGCCAGCCCAGCGACGAGATCTTGTGGCGGCGCATCCGCACCTCCAGCGACGGACTGGTCCATGGCAGGCGTAGACGCGGTCACCGACGGTTGTTCTTCGTACGGCTTCTCGGGGAGCGTGAGGCTGCAGGCGATGTTACTAGCGTCGACAGTCTTGCCTCCCTCCGCGATATTGGCTTCATACTCAGCCCGTCGTTTCTTCGTCTCTGTTTGATGTGCCTGTCCCAGATCAAACAAGTCCATGGCCTTGGAGACATAGAGCAGACTGTTGGGATCGTACTCCAGACAGAACTTCTCGCCTGCGTGGTCGAGGTATGTCTCGATGAGGAAATCAGGACACAATGCAGGCTGCTTGCTGGGGTCTGCACGCTTGCGGCCAAACCGCTTCTCCCACTCCGGTCCGCTTCGGTAGGTGACTGTCGCAATTTCTCGTGCGAGCTTCATGCCCGAATGGGGCGGGATGGAGTCGTAGTAGAACCCGCGGGCCCACTTCGGGTCCATCATGAGGACCTGACGCTGTGTATGTCGCATGGCGATGCTGTATGGGTGGCTTCGGGCGCAGCCGCTGATACTGACGATCTTGTCGACCCGCTCGGGGAAGAGCACTCCGGCGGCGAGACTCTGCATGCCGCCCATGCTGGAGCCGACGGAGGCGTACAGCTTCTGGATGCCCAGCGTGTCCAGGAGACGGAATTGTGCGCGGACCATGTCGTCTATCGTCAGGATGGGGAATCGGGTGGCGTATCTCTTTCCATCGGATGGGTCGATGGACGATGGCCCGGTGCTGCCGTAGCAGCCTCCGATAACATTCGTACAGATGACGAAGTACTTTTTTGTGTCTAACGGCTTGTCGGGGCCGATGAATTTCTCCCACCATCCGGGTTTGGAGTTGGCTTCGGTGCTATGGGCGTGACTCGAGGCCGACAGACCGGTGTGTAGTAGGATAGCGTTGCTCTTATCTGCATTCAATTGGCCCCATGTTTCGTACGCGATATCGAATTCCGGCAGGACACCACCCCAGTCAAGCAGCAATGGATCTTCGCAACGGAACTGTTCATGATGGCCGGTTGTGTATGACGGCTCGGGACCCGACTCGAGAGACCGTGCGGAGAGGAGGGCGGACTTCGCATCTTGGGCGTCAAGACAGGGAAACGATAGAGCTGGATTGGAGGAACTGTTACTTGCGGCGGCGGACTGGGAATTCCGTGGACGACCGTTGTGTAAGGGCCTACGGGCCGCTGGGTATTGCGTGGACGAGCATACTGCTGCTAATCGATTCCGAGTCGAGATGGTTTCATGTCTGAGCAAAGCCGAGAGACTCCGCGCTGAGCGCGCCACACCGTGTATAGATCCCATTGTTGAGCAAACTGCAAGGCGCGAACGAGAGATGGTTACCGCACGAGCTGTTAAATGGGAATTTTGCGGTCGAGAAGTCGGTGTTCTTCATTATATTTGATCGCCGATTACGCAGGCGAATGCGATGCCTGAGGCGCCGACAGCTGCGAGGCCGCGGGAAAGCTCATGGCGTCATCTACTCGTGTTGTCATTGGCCGACGGCTTACTATATCGCGATGTCGACAACTGATCAGCTTCAAGTGTTAGGGGGAAATACTAGTAGTAGTACTTTCCAGATATCATCCAGTCATCGTCAGCTACATCAATTGAAAGATCCAGCAAGCAGGCATAGGCTGTGCGAGTAGAAATGAAGACCGCTACAAGAGGTTGAGTTGCTCGTTTTTTGAGGATGTGAAACTGAAGTTCGATCACCATCCTTGGAGAACCGAACAACTGCGCCTCTTGGTCCTCACTTGTCTGCTAGGAATATTGATGCCAATTTTGTAGAAGGCTTATATCTTCCCATCTTCGCTTGCCATAAATGCAGTGCTCCCCTGTGGGATTTCACAGTGACAGGTTTTTCCCACATTCTGGGTTCATTGTGGTAGTAGACCCTGGCGGGAGAGTGGTACAGCTATAATTAAACCAGATGGGATTGGTGTACCACTTATGGTCTGGAATCACTTCAGGGACCGTGACATTGGCACTGGGGACGTTGAGATGGGGAGGTTGAAGCAGCTGCAACAACAACTCCACCGCTTGCCGGGATGGAAGTTTCAAAGCAACCGTCCGCATTAGGCGAAAAGGTGGGACTCCCGCTGCTGAAGTCAAAAGAAGCACGTGTAGGGGAGGAATTTCCCTGACATTCCAATCATTCATGGGCAGATTGTTTACGAAGTACGGAGTATAAGAGAAGTCGTTACCGAATTGAATTGGCCTGGATTGATTGGATTGAAGCGTAGTCAAGCCTGCAAGGTACATACAAACAAGAATCTACCCCCGAGTATAATCCAAGCATGATCTTCGTACATGATGCCCCTTCTATCTCCCGTACAGCGCGAATCCTTGTATCCCTCCGCCGGAGATCCGAATCGCTATGGTGTATATATTGAAGATCATCCCAAGGAAAGGTCGGTTCGATGCTACTTTCCACGTATACTTCATTGTTAAGGAAGCTTGGCGCTTCTGGATGCACTCCCGACCAAGCGAGGCTTGGTGAAGGCAGGTTGCCGTCTTGGTGTCGGAATGAAACAGAACGATCCAGCCTCAAAGCTCCGGATCCTTTTATCTACTCTGTGGTGTGGTGACAATTGAGAGCACCCGTTGGTCATTACGGGAACAATGTTCAGTATATCACCAGCATCTAATCTGTACAGTTCAGAGGTGAACGTGGCTTGCCGGGCTGAGGTCGCATTAGTCCTTCCCACGGATGTATACAGGACCAATCACCAGGCCGTCAAGCATCGTGGGCCAAGCCTTACCTGCAGATCGGTCGGAAAGAGACCAAATGCTAATGACGCGGCTTGACTAGGATCTTGGATGCAGTTGACAACTTTACCTCCAGCCGTCCAATAACGTGCCTCAGAATCCTTCCCTCAGGTCTCCAATATATTACATGTCCGTGAGCCATGCATACGCGATTCTGGGGGGTTATCGGCCCCGGCTATCTGGCGCGGAGACCGTTCTGGAGGAACAGTTCCCCTAAGTTTCCAACAGGAGAGCGATCGTTTCAGGAGTAAAAGGAACGCGGTATCCGAAGGTCTCGATGGTTCGCAGAAGTTCCTTGCCGGTACGACTCATTGTTCTGGAGAGACCGCAAACGGCGGCTTGAGCGCCATCCGAATCCCCGACTGGCCGATAACCCTCATGCAAGTCAGGGATTCGGTATTTATAGATGCCTAGTTCTGAGGTCGTGGCTTCTCGGTTCCAAGGATGAATCAGCCCATCGCGTCATGACGAACTGCAAAAAGGCCTGGGCTGATCATGTCCCATTGCGGAAAAGAAGGAAGAAAAAGAAGTTGATGGCCAGCGTTGCACGAAATGATCTCCACATTTCCTCAAATTCAATCTCCGTGACATTAACTTCTTCCTTTTTTTTTTTTTTTTTTTTTCCTTTGCCCGGTTCCCTTTTTTTATTATTTTAAATAACGCACGTTGACAGTCCCCCTGGAAATTCCATCTGAGAAAGTTGTCGCGACCTCAGGTCAGCATACGTTCCAAACTCATCCGCCATCTACCGTCTACGCGGAGTCTTACGCCACCAAAGCGCCGTCGTCATTTAGCTCCACCCCAGTAGCCTCCGCCCAACTTTTTTTTTCCTGGTATCTCCTTGTCACTGCCGCTCTTGGTGGTCTCTATATCTTCTTTTTTGATCTCTCTTTCTTTTCTCGTCCTTAATCATTTTCTACACTGCAAGAATTGTGTCTCCATAAAACGATCAAACTCGTCGCAGCAGCCGAAGTTCATTGCTCACACAGTGTAACCGCTGCGACAAAACCATTGTTCGCAGCTGATTTAATTCTTGCAACTCGGTGTTCTTTTGCCTATTGTCTGAGTTACAACAAAGTGCAGATATGCGCGATTTCAATGACCACTGAGTGGGACACAAATTGAGATCCATACCGAATCCACTGATTGTCGCCGCATCTCACCGTCCACTGTCATTCACTGATCGTCGGCGGAGTTTGCGGAGAAGATCGTGGTGTCTCTGAAGTTTGCGTACGTGCCAGTGAATTGCAATTCTCTGTCGATCAATTCGCGTCAGCCACTTCGACACCCCCTCCCACCATGCTCACATACCGAAAGTCGCTTATTGCGGCCCTCTGTCTGATCACCTTCGTCGTCCTTCTAAGATCCTCCCATTCGGCTTCCTCCCCCTCGCCGTCCCCTGCGCCCGCATACATCCCCGATGAGAGCATTCACAACACTAATGAAGTAACGGAAGAGCACTCGCCAGGGCAGAAAAAGGAGGCCATACAACAGCAGCAGCCCCTCAAACCCTCCCCGAGCGCACCCTTGCGCGAACGGTTGCGCTACCATTTCCCTTACGATCTTGATAAGAAATTCCCCGCATACATCTGGCAAACATGGAAATATACCCCCGACTCGGTGTGGTTCGGCCAAGAGCTGCGCGGCGCGGAGGCAAGCTGGACTGAGCTCCACCCGGGCTTCGTCCATCAGGTGGTTCCAGACGACACCCAAGGTTATCTCATCAAATACCTATATAGCTCGCTTCCGGATGTGTTTGAAGCCTATGAGTCCTTGCCGTTACCCGTTCTGAAAGCCGACTTCTTCCGGTACCTGATCCTGCTGGCCCGGGGCGGAATCTATAGCGACATCGACACCAGCGCTTTGAAGCCGGCTGCCGATTGGCTGCCTGCCACCTACGACTTGTCCACTATCGGATTCGTGGTCGGCATCGAGGCGGACCCGGACCGTCCAGATTGGCATGACTGGTATTCACGGAGACTCCAATTCTGTCAATGGACCATTCAATCCAAACCGGGACATCCGATCCTCCGCGACATTGTGGCCTACATCACGGAAGAAACTTTACGGATGAAGAAGGCCGGGATCCTCAAGGTCGGCAAGATGGATAAGACCATCGTGGAGTTCACCGGACCGGGTGCATGGACCGACGCTATCTTCCGATATTTCAACGACCCAGATTACTTCAACATCGAACCCGATTCGAATCACAACATCACCTACGAAGATTTCACAAACCAAAAAGACTGGAGAAAGGTAGGCGACGTGGTGGTTCTGCCCATTACGAGCTTCAGCCCTGGCGTGATGCAAATGGGTGCAGGCGATTATGATGATGAAATGGCCTTCGTCAAGCATGACTTTGAAGGTAACTACGCTCTGATCCTTGCTTGTGGTACCAGTACTAACTATCGTGGCCAGGAACATGGAAAACGGACCCATCATTATAAGAAGCTGGCTCCTACCACTCACCCCGCCATCCAACTTACTCCAGAGAACCAAGACTTATCATCTTCGCTCTGACGAGCATCGACAGCGAGAGAGAGAGACATGTCGACTCTTTCACCTCTACTATACTCACGAAAATCCGCTCGACTTGAGAGGTCAGTGGACGATCCACTACCATCACGTGAACGACAGTATGAATGACGTATGAACGAGTCACGTCTTGTGATCAACAGCTGCCACTCCAATGCAGCTGACCAACACATTTCTCCCTCAGGAATCTAGGGCTCGAATATGCTTCCATCATATGCCGAATGGAAGTAATCCAGATACCCGCTATCAGTCGGGAATCCCGCCCACCAAAAACATCCATCCTCTAGCTAATACTTTCGAACCGATTGACTAACCCATCTAATCCCGCTATGTGTTTCTTTGTTCTTGATACGTGGTCTAGAATTTTTTTGTATAGATATATAGAGATTTTAACGAAATTTAATGCTGCCAACTGTGAAACGAGCTTTTGTACGGCTCGAGAAATTGTATGTAATTGATTAGGAATTGTCAAGCAGGTTTAAGCTTATAAAAGAACTGTATTAAGTATATAATATAATCGATCTCATCCAAATGTACTGTATGTCCTTTTCATAAACAAAATGGCGGACCGAAACTATAGAAGTCCTCGATGAAGTTTATGTTATCGTCTCTTCATGTAGGCACCGATTAACACTGTATAGCTGAACATACAGTAAATGCAAAATATCCTGGACTGGGTCGAGAGAAACCACAGGTAATCGAATAGTGTAATGTCCAGCTATTGTGGGAACGGTGAAGCTGATGAATCAAAGATAGTACATCATATGCATATGTGAATAACAAACAAGTCCACTAGCACCAAAGAGAGTTAAATAGCGAAATAATAATAATAATAGCAATAGTAATAGTAATAGTAATAGTAATAGTAATAATAATCATATCTTCATGACAGAGTGTCGAGGACCATTCGGGTCACTGATCACCGCTACAAGATATTAGTAGCAGCTCCTGGAAGGCCACATAAGGCAGTCGACAGGGGTACGCATGGCAATGGACAGCGGGGAAACAAGAGGCACTGGCTGAACTGCAAGAACTTCCAAGTATGTCGTAGAGAGTTTACAGGCGACCACGAACATACACGAACGTACTGGCGGCCTCCCTTGCGAAGATAGTTGATTACCAAGAATGAGGCGGGGGTATTGCAGACCGAACTGAACATCGTTCGTATGTAGCAACGTTCCTGGTTTCGAAACAAGGGTCTTGGGTCACCGTTGCCAATCCGGATACTTAAGTCGCCTCCGATGGGGTGGTCCAATCGGACAGGATCGACCTGATCGCGTGGCGGCAGTACGTTCACAGAAGGGTGTTTGTTCAGTCGGATATTTGAGTCTATTCGGGTACCGTGTTTAGAAGTCGCTAAACAAAGGCTCGTATTTTTTCCTCAGATCATCGGTATAAACATTCTGACTTCTCACGTCCGGATCGGGGTACTCTTCGAAGTTACCGGTGTCTGCAGGGTGGTCGACCCTTGGGATGATGGGCCCTTTGATACGGCGGTAAAACAAATCATCCCATTGTATGTCTCCAAAGAATGGATGTGACTTGACTCTGGCAGACCCTCCAGATATGTACCCTAGGCGCTCCGTCGGATTGGTCTTGCAAAGTAAAGATATGATATTCTGGGCCGCCGGTGACATATTTTGAGGAAATCGTATGCGGCCTTCGACGATCTGTTCGTATATACGCATGGGATTCTGGTCCCAGAAGGGCGGCTGCCCCACGAGAAACTCGTAAATCAGAATACCCAGGGCCCACCAGTCAACTGCAAGGCCATGGCCACTGTTATGAATGACCTCAGGGGCCAGATACTCTGGCGTGCCGCAAAGGGTATAAGTTTCCCGATTCTCGACTTTCTTTGCAAAGCCAAAGTCGACAAGCCTAATGTGCCCCTCGGCATCCAGAAGAATATTTTCAGGCTTCAGGTCGCGATAAACAATCCCCTCTACATCGTGAAGGAATTCGATAGTAAGAGTTATCTCGGCCGCATAGAATTTAGCGGTGTTTTCGTTAAACCGGCGCGCGCGCGAAGGTAACTAAATATCTCACCGCCAGGGCAATAGTCCAACTAAATATACGTTAGATCGTCAGTATCGCTCCCCAAGGCATTGACGGATCGGTAACAAAGAGGCAGTGTCAAAATTGAGGGGGCAAAAATGAAAGCGCTTGGGGCCCGTACCAACATGTATAAACTTTGGTCGTCGGAAAAGGAGGCTATCAGTGTCGTTATGAAAGGGTGGCCGGCAACGGCCGAAAGAGTCTTGCGCTCATTGCGAACATGTTCGACCTGCTTCAATTTGATCACTAACCCACAAAATTAGCCCACAGAATGCAGACGCCCACGTCCAAATAGTCTCACCATCCGCCTTTCGTAGTATTTTGAGTGCATACACTTTATCTCTCTGTCGTATCTCATCCTTCAATCTCACTAGCCATACTCGAGCGAAAGTGCCTTATGTTCACAACAGTCTTACTGTCAGTCTCCGACCATGTTCATCCAGATCCAGCAATGAGTCTTACCAGTCCCGAGGGTTTTCAGGAGTGCGAAGTCATCAACTGTCAAGGTGCGGGTAGACACGCCTAGTTGTTTTTCCTCCGGCCGCTCGGTGATGACGAAAGGACTTAGATGTCGTTGATGCGGCGGGCGAATAGCGGCCACCATCTGTTTTTCTTTCTCGTGAACATTACTTGACCCCGTGTCGATGTCTCCGGGAGGGGTCGAGGTCCCCTGTACGTCCTTAGGGGCCGAAGGGTCGACCGTTCCTGTAGCCATGGGGATGGGGAAGGATCATGTCTCGGGGAACCGCAGGAATCTGAATACCCCAATGGGGGGGAGGAGGGGGGGAGGAGCGGAGCACTTTAAATGACAATTGGGGAACTGAGAGGCTCCCTAAAATCAAGACTAGAATGCGATGCAATCGTAATATTCCATTGGGTATGTATTGGAGGTACGGAAGTGGCGTGGTGGGGGATAGCGAGGATTAAGGCGATTGCGGAATGAAGCTGTGGTGAGGTCGTTCTTGTTCCATCGGCGGCGCTACGGGAGACTCTGACGTTACCTACCGACTGGCGGGGCAAACCCGCGGGATGGGCGCGAGGTCGAAACTCCCCATGAAGTCGGTCGCATCCACTATTACCCACACCCCGAGTCCCGGTCGTTTGTTTTCATAGGTTGCTTTGATTATGCAAAACAAGCAAAAAAGATAGACTGCATTCACTTAAAAAAAAAAGTAAAAGATTCAATATAGTCATTGTTATCCAAAGCGTGTAGGCATATACTAGTACAGAAAGTCTCCCGAAGGCTAAAAGGTGATGATGTTCTAACCGGAATACCCGCGGGGGAGCAGACCGCTGCTGCCTTCACACGGTCTTCTAAAATAAACCCCCATGGTCCGAAGGGATGGGCCCTTGGTATAAAGCAGTTCAAGGAGGTTGGTAAAGCAGTCAAGTGCAGTCGCCAACATATCGGAATATCAAAACACAATGCTTAACTCAGTTTAAGGGTGGCTCTTAGAGTTCAGGATCAGGCCCACGATAAGTCTATCACAGTTAGCATCAAATTCATATTCATGTATAACAATAGTCACATACCCATAGAGACCAAGAACTTCGCCGAAAATCAGGATGAGAATCATTCCGACGTAGACCCGAGATTGCTGCAGGTACGCACGTACACCCTTGAACAGTTGTTAGAAGTGTGTAGACGTACGCATAGCCATGCAAAGACCGCTTACCGCATCTCCAACAATTCCAATAGTGTATCCGGCAGCCATGCCTGCGAGGCCAACCGACAGTCCTGATGCAAGGTGCATGAACCCACTTTGTGTGCTGTCAGCATACTACATCCAGACTGAGACACAGTTCGCAAAATTGCACGTACGTATATAGGCTCATCCGTTGTAATGGAGGTGGTTGCATGTCCTGTGCGATGAGGACTGCGATGACAAGGCCGTACACCGCGATAATACCAGACATAACGACCGGAACCAACGACTATTTCAGTCAGCAAGACAGAACAATCGTATCGCTAGTTATTTCGGGTGAAAATGTCATTCATGCCTTCATGATGAGATCCGATCTAAAAGTTCCCACGCCCGAGATACCAATGCCGGACTTAGCGGTTCCATATGCTGCCCCCATTGCTTGAACTGTGTAAGTATCCCAATTTGCCGTATAATCGCTAGCATTCAATACTCAAGTGTAGACATACATCCGAAGATCATCTTTCGAAAGATCGTTAGCGTACAGTCAGGTGTCGAGGCACGTTCACAGAGTACTCACAGCTGCAGCTATCCCTGCCTAAAGACAAGAAGTCAGCAAAATCCCAAGGTATCAGGTATGATCGCGTTGCAAGTCATTTCACCTACAAAGGAGAAGAAGGGGGCGAACTTGGGCGCCAACTCGCTGTCCACCACCATTGTGATCAGGTTGGTTCCAATGGTGAATGGAGATGATGAAAGGACAAAGAACAGGAGAGAAGAGGGGGGGGGAAGAGAGAAGACAAGAAGTGAAGTGAACCTCAATGAAGGGAAATGCAATCAAATGCACGCGACGAACAGGACACTCTGTTGAGAACCAGAATCGTTGCAGCTCGGAAGAACATCAACTTGAAGACTACCGGTCTAGTAGGGTGGATGTTGTCCGTACCAAGTTGCTCGCCCGGGCCACCGTACCAGCCGCAGAAAGCCACACTTCTGGCCTATCCGGGTTAAGTCTGACATGTGCCTGTTCAACCCAACAAACCCCGTGCTTTTCCATCACGGACGGACCATTCTTCACCACTTTCCCATACATACTCCCCTTCCCAAATACCCTCCACCCCCCGCTCCTCCCCTCTTCCCCAACTTTTACCTAGTCTGGCCCCTTCACTCAATCCGGACTCACTGTTATCTCGCCCCGATCAACTAGTCCGAGGGAGGATGCTAAGGCTATGAACCTGCAGGGGGCCCTGGCTTGCCGTTGCGCTCAAGGCTCCTTAGTAGCGCACTTCCATCGTTACTAACACACCACGCGGTCTTGTCGACGCCTTCCTCCACGGCTTTGAAATCGTCTCAGGACCGACGCCTCCCCATTGAGGCATGATACGCTTGGGGTTATTTTGTGTCTAGGAAATTTCTTACTGAATTTTATTCTTGTCTGTTGTTTGATTATAAATTATCGTCTGTGGAGTATCTCTTTCTCTTTCCTGCATATCTTTTTCCTTCTCCCCTTGTCCCTCCTCCTTTCTCCACGATTCCCAACGATCATCTCGCGACGCTCTGCACGCTCTCTACGACCGGTTCCGATACCCTTTCGTTATATCAGGGCTCGAATTCTTTCAGTCTTCCGGTATACTTGCTAGTCGTCGTATTATTCCTCCATCCTATCCGAATAAATTTCGAAATCAGGATCAAAGAGGAAAAGAGGGGAATCAACCATGGCCGATCTTGGAGGCCATCAAGGCCGGAACTACCGGCCTTACGGACATCCTTCATCATTCCAACGAGATGCTGCATTTTCTGAGATCTTTGGTGGGGCACCACCACCTGGCCGCTCTCAGACAATGACTTCGCAAACGCCTCAATTTTCTCAAGACAGGGCTCACACTATGTCATCACACGTGCCGCATCCCCAGATGCAGAGAGGTCCTCCACCACCGAACCGCCAGGTGCCGAATGGACATCCAGCGGGCGCCCCGAACGGATATTATCAAGCGTACTCTGGGTCCACAACTATGACTTCTCACTCTTCCCAGAATCCTCCGCGACCGTACCCTGGACGCTTCGCTTATCCTCAGCCCCAACGGTTAGACTCAAGGCCGAGCCCAGGAGCACAGTATCCGGATGCGAAGGGATACAGCCGGCCAATGCCACCTCCTGCACTGAATTCAGATGCTTACAGATCAAGGTCAATGGCAAGAATGGGTGGACCGCCACTATATCAACCACCACCTAGTAGCTTTAATCATACATCTGCAAGCGCTTTCCGCCAGCAGCCGTACAACGCCGCAGCTCCAATGACCGCACAAGGACGAGTTGTGCCGGAGAGGCATGGAAACGAGCGCGCTATGTCATTAACGTCATATTCGACCGATCGCCCGGACTACAATCATACCACAAGCACAGGGAGAGTAATCCCTGCTCGAAGACAGCCATCGGGCTCTAGCCAACCGCCGCTTTCTCGACCAGATATGGACCCAGCCACCGCCCATAATACCGATGGCAGGCCACGGCCACCGAGTGATGGTTCGACGACATCCCGCTCCATGTCGATGGCTTCGACGGTAATGACAGATCGAACAATGAGCATGCAAAGCCAGGCGCCTCCCAAGCCCGCCGGTCAGACAACTCTTGTGGCGAGCAACTCCCGTAGAAGCAAGGTGCCATTGGTCTATCCAGCTTTGCTTTCGCGGGTTACTGATGCCTTCCGCGAGAAGATTGAACTTGGTGAAAGGCACAAGAACGGACTTGCATATCAAAATGCCTTTTCTGGCGCAGATGCGGTAGACTTGATTAGCCACATCATTAAAACGAACGATCGAAACCTAGCTCTTCTTCTGGGGCGTGCCCTGGATGCGCAGAAGCTTTTCCACGATGTGACGTACGACCATCGTCTTCGAGATTCTTCTGGTGAAGTCTATCAATTTAACGACACTGTGGATGCGCCCACTTTTGAAATCAACGGAGTTTTCACCCTTCTCACTGAGTGTTACTCCCCGACTTGTACCCGCGACAGTTTATGCTACTCAATTGCGTGCCCTAGAAGACTGGAGCAGCAAGCACGACTAAACCTTAAACCGCAGCCGGGTTTGCGGACGTCTGCGTCTAAAGGAAGCTTACATGGCGACGATGATGATAATGACAATCAGAAATTATGGATTAACATGGTTCCAAAGGAGGTCTCCGATAGCATCGATGATCGTGAAAAGAAACGACAAGAAATCATCTTCGAAATTATGTACACGGAACGCGATTTTGTCAAGGATTTGGAGTATCTGCGAGATTTTTGGATGAGGCCTTTGCGCGGTGCTGGCAACACAAACGTCTCACCCATTCCAGAACATGGACGAGAAAGGTTCATCCGTACAGTATTTGGAAACTGCTTGGAGGTCCTGAAAGTCAACAGTGGCTTGGCTGAAGCTCTCAATACCAGACAAAAGGAAAGCCACGTAGTGAAAACAGTTGGCGATATATTCCTTCAACATGTTCCACGGTTCGACCCATTTATCAAATACGGTGCGAATCAACTCTACGGAAAGTACGAGTTCGAGAAAGAGAAGGCATCTAATCCAGCCTTTGCAAGGTTTGTGGAAGAGACTGAGCGTTTAAAGGAGTCACGAAAGCTAGAACTGAATGGATACTTGACCAAACCCACCACCCGTCTCGCAAGATATCCATTGCTCCTTGAACAGGTCGTGAAAAACACGGCGGATGATAACCCTGACAAAGAAGATATTCCCAAAGCTATCAAGATCATCAAGGATTTCTTGTCCCGTGTCAACACTGAAAGTGGAAGAGCCGAGAACCATTTTAATCTCCTTCAGCTTAGCGGAGCTCTAAAATTCAATCCTGGCGACTATGTCGACTTGAAGCTAAAGGAGGAAAACCGTCAGATGCTGACAAAAATGGCTTTTCGAAAGACACCGACTGATACCTCCGAGGTCACCGCATATCTTTTTGACCATGCTGTTTTATTGGTGAGAATCAAGATTGTGAACAAGCGTGAGGAGTACCGAGTTTATCGGAAACCAATTCCTCTGGAACTCCTGGTCATTGCGCAGATGGACGAGGTTATACCCAGGGCAGGAATCGCCAAAAGACCATCATCTAGTCTACTCCCGAATAAAGCGGCCGCGAATCTGCCAAACACGAAGGATGGACTTCCCATCACCTTCAGGCATCTTGGCAAAGGCGGTTACGAACAAACTCTCTATGCCACATCCCCCATGCAAAGACGAAAATTCATTGAATTGGTGGAGGAACAGCAAAGAAAATTGAGGGAGCGGAACAGCAACTTCTATAACAAGACCCTGCTCTGTGAGGGTTTCTTCACGTCAGTCAACCGGGTAAATTGCCTTGTCCCCATCGATGGTGGTAGAAAATTGGTGTACGGTACAGATAGTGGCATTTATCTCTCGGATCGTTGGCCAAAGGATAAGTCTGCGAAGCCAAGGCGAGTCTTGGATGTCAGCCAGGTAACTCAAATAGACACTTTGGAAGAGTATCAACTACTCTTGGTCTTGGCGAACAAAACGTTGTCCTCGTATCCGATGGACGCTCTTGAAATAGGAGAGGGCCAGAACACAGCAGCGAAAAGGCCCAAGAAGATTCAAGGCCATGCGAATTTCTTCAAAGCCGGTATTGGACTTGGTCGCCATCTGGTCTGTTCTGTCAAGACTTCTGCTCTGTCAAGTACAATCAAGGTATACGAGCCCATGGACAACCTGACAAAGGGAAAGAAGAAGTCAGCTGTCAGTAAGATGTTCCAGGGTGGTCAAGACACCTTGAAACCTTTCAAGGTTCGTATACGCCTTGCAACCAGCGCAATATACCTCCTGATTTCATACTGACCACACTCCTAGGAATATTATATCCCCGCCGAATCCTCCTCGATCCATTTCCTCCGTTCGACGCTTTGCGTTGGCTGTGCTCGTGGTTTTGAGGTCGTTAGCCTCGAGACAACCGAGACACAGTCTTTGCTTGATCAAGCCGATACTTCCTTAGACTTTGTGGCACGCAAAGAAAACGTTAAGCCTATTCATATCGGACGATTGGACGGCGAATTCCTTCTCAACTATAGTGATTTCTCGTTCTTTGTTAATCGCAATGGCTGGCGTGCTCGTCCGGACTGGAAGATTTCATGGGAAGGCAACCCTAATGCCTTCGCACTTTCACCTCCCTATATCCTCGCGTTTGAACCGAACTTCATCGAAATCAGACACGTTGACACGAGCGAGCTGATCCACATCATGACTGGGAAGAACATTCGTATGCTGCATTCCTCTACAAGCGAGGTACGTCGAACAAGAGTAACCCATACCGATGTAGTGATACTAATATATCTCTAGATACTGTACGCCTACGAAGATGAAGCAGGCGAAGACGTAGTAGCCAGTTTGGATTTCTGGAACAAGCCGCAGCATTAGTTGAACAGAGATGGACGAAATGAGAGATAGCATTTGTTCTTTCAAGTTTATTTTGATCGCTCTTAGACCGGTCTTTTGCCATTCCGAAAGGCATTCGATCTCGCTTCGTTAAGCATTTTGCTCTTCTGTATGAGCTTTTTTTCGCATCTTCTCCTTCCCTTTCTAATACCTCTCTATGTTATTGATTTGATCTGTATCAAGTCAGCCTTTATATCTACCATCATTTGCCTATTTTCCACTGTGTACAATGAAGCGCAAATACCACATGTTTATTCTTACTGTCAGTTGTGCGTC